AGGGAGGTGGGAGGGGGGATCGGGATGGGGAATACATGTAAATCCATGGCTGATTCATGTCAATGTATGACAAAAACCACTACAATATTGTAAAGTAATTAGCCTCCAACTAATAAAAATAAATAGAAAAAAAAATGGGAACAATAAAAAAAAATAGATGAACAGTAAGGTCCTACTTTATAACACAGGGAACTATATTCAATATCCTTTAATAAACCATGATGGAAAAGACCGTGTATACCTGCATAACTGAATCACTGTTCAGTGTACCAAACGCTAACACAACATTGTAAATCAGCTATACTTCAGCTAAAAGAAAACCTGCTCTAAAATACCTCCTAAATAAAGAATGAACCACCCCATAAATCTAGAGTTCTTATATCCTTCACACAAAAAAATTATACCAATATTTTGATCATTCTCCCAAGGCAATAAAAATAAAAGCAAAAGTAAGCAAATGGGACCTAAGGAAACTTACAAGTTTTTGCACAGCAAAGGAAACCAAAAACAAAATGAAAGACAGCCTACTGACTGGGAGAATATATTTGCAAATGATATGATTGACAAGGGATTAATTTCCAAAATATACAAACAGCTCATATAACTCAACAGAGAAAACAACCCAATCGAAAAATGCGCAGAAGACCTACATGGACATTTCTCCAAAGAAGACATACTGATGGCCAACAGGCACAAGAAAAGATGCTGAATGTCAGCATCTTGAATTAGTAGAAAAACACAAATCAAAACTACAGTGAGGTATCACCTCACACCAGTGAGAATGACCATTATAAAAAAAATACATAAATAAATGCTGGAGAGGATGTGGAGAAAAGGGAACCCTCCTACAATGTTGGTGGGAATATAAAGTGATGCAGCCACTATGGAAAACAATATGGAGGGTCCCCAAAAAGCTAAAAATAGAGTTGCCATAATGATTCAGTAGTCCCACTCCTGGTCATATACATGGATGAAACTATAATTTAAAAAGATAATGCACACCCCTATGTTGATAGCAGCACTATCCACAATAGCCAAGACATGGAAACAATGTAAATGTCCATCAACAGATGAATGGATAAGAAGACATGGTACATACATACGATGGATTACTACTCAGCCACGAAAAAGAAAAAAATAATGCCATTTGCAGCATAATAGATGGACCTCAAGATGATTATATTAAGTGAAGTTAAGTCAGAAGAAGACGAATACCAAATGATACCACTTATATGTGGAATCTAAAATATGACACAAATGAACATATCTATGAATCAGAAACAGGCTAACAGACACAGAGAACAGACTTGTGTTTGCCAAGGAGGGGGTGAGGAAGGGATAGATCTGGAGTTTGGGATTAGCAGATGCAAACAGTTATATATAGAATGGATAAACACTTAGATTTTCTACCAGCTGAGCCACCAGGTAGGCCCAAGAATACTGGAGTGGGTAGCCTATTCCTTCTCCAGCAGTCTTCCCAATGAGGAATCAAAGCAGGATCTCCTGCATTGCAGCCGGATTCTTTAAACTGAGCTATCAGGGAATCCACTGTATAGCACAGGAAATATATTTAATGTCCTGTGATAAGCCATATAGTCAAGAATAAAGAAAAAGAATGCATCTATATAATCTCTGTACTCAGTCACTTGAGTCATGACTGACTCTGCGAACCCACGGACTGTAGCTCGCCAGGCTCCTCTGTTCATGGGATTCTCCAGGCAAGAGTATTGGAGTGGGTTGCCATGTCCTCCAGGGGATCTTCCTGACCCAGGGATTGAACCCCTGTTTCTGTGTCTCCTGCATTACCGGTGCATTCTTAACCCACTGAGCCACCTGGGACACCCCATATAATCTATGTATATAAATAATTTTGCTGTACAGCAGAAAATCATTGTAAATCAACTATACCTCAATAAAATAAAAAGAAGTCACTGAATATTCACGGGTTAACAAAATAAATTTAACTTCTTGTTCCTATATCATCCCAATCAGGTGTTCTTGGTTAGCAGGTGGCTTTTCTCTATGACTCCTCTCAGCCCTGTGGTTCATGCTTATCTACCTCAAAATTCCCTGGAGGGCTTGTTAAACTACAGATAGCTGATTCCACTCCCAGAGTTTTACGTCCTGTAGGTTTGGGCAGGTCTTAAGAATGTACATCTCTTAACAAGTTCCCAGGTGCTGCTCCTGCTGCTTTGTGGACCGCACTTTGAGAGCCACTGCTCTGCATCAGCACAGTAGAGAAGTCAATCTTCTCTTTACTGCCTTTGCATAGAAGTAGCACATGTCACTTCTCCTCACCTCCTATTAGTGCAACTCATATTCTGGACCACTGCAGATGCTAGGGTGCAGAATGTGGTTCCCAGAGTTGGGTCCCGCACACTTGACAGAAGCAGCAGGAATCTTGATTGTCATCTCCCAATCCTGGATACACCAAGCAGATCCAAAAAC